GGTTAGCTCCATCCGGGGCCACGGGAGCGGGGCTCAAGCCCAGCTGCTCGGCCTCTGGGATGTGAGTGCGTAGCCCAGGCAGGTGTAATTGTCTTCCTGGGCCCTTAAAATAGCTATAATCAGAGCAGCAAAGAAAACAGGACTTCAAAGGGCACAGCTGATCCCCTCCCACGGCCAGCATCTGAAATAGGGCAGATGAATCACACCCGAGAAGGGCCCAGGAGGATGAATCCCACTGGGACGCACAGGCTGGCATATGGATCTGACCCAGGAGATGGTGCTGCTCCCAGAGAGCTTCTGGCTGGGAAACTTCTCCTGGCACCAACATCCCCCCACGCTACAGCAGATGCTTGGTTCCTCCCCATGCCCCTCTCCTGTCCCTCCGGCTTTTTAGAAGGGCTCCCAACTGTCATTAAAGAGGGAAAGAAGTTGAAGAACTGGCTCTCGCAGTTGAAAAAGGAAGGTCTCGCTGCTGCCCTTCCCCCAGCCCCAGGGACACCCATCCCAGGGACCAGGCTGGATTGGGCTGGTACCCGGGCATCACTGCAGGGACGTGGCAGAAGGACAGGTCCTGTCTGTGCCACCTGCAAGCATGGGGCTGCGGGACCCCCAGGCCACCCTCCCTCCCGCAGCCCAGGGTCTGGCCTCTTCCAAACGCGCATCAGAGACTCACTGTGTTGGGCATGTGGACTTCGGGGTTCATATAGCCCAAAACGTCATCCAGGCGCATGATGTCATCAATGACCTCATCAAACTAAAAGGGAAAGGTGTTAAGGTACCAATGGGCTTCTCTGCCCTTTCCAGCCCCTTTGCCTCCCCCAGCAGCTCAGTGGCACCTCCTCACCTCCCGCTCGGGGTTGGAGCCGATGTTGAGCATGGCCATGGGGCTGTTGGGTGCACTGTTGCCCGCCGAGGAGGACATGACGTGGCTGGGTCGGACGCCGGGTGAGGCAGCGGGGGGTGGCTTGGGGGAGGGGGTGGGGGGGGGGGGGGGGGGGGGGCCCATAGGTTTCGGAGAGATAAGCCTGAACCTTCTTGTCCCGTGACTTCTGCAGGTGGTACGTGGTGGGGTTCTCCAGGTAGGACTGGACCTTCAAGGAGACAAACCATCAGGGATCGCCCGCACCCCCTTGGCCCCAGGGCAGGGGGGACACCCCTAGCACTGTACCTTGAGGACCTCTCCGGGCACGGGTGGTGGGGACTGGTAGTGGACGGGGGGGCCGATGCGGGACGCCATGGCGCACCGGGGGGGTGGGATGCAGGCGCCCGCCAGGCACGGAGGTGACCCTGAGAAGAGGACACGGCACATCAGGAACAGCCTATTTTGCAGCAGGGCAACTGAGGCATGGGGAGGGAGCAGACATCCTGGAGCACTCGTACCAGCCGGTGACTAAGCCAGGACGACCACCCTAACGCCAGACGGACGGGCCTGCCCTCCTGCCGCAGCCCCCCGCCACGCCACCGCTCTCCCTGGGGACAGCCGGGGCACCTTGGTGGGGACGGGGAGGGCAGGGAGCAGCTGGGACCCCACACCCAGCGAGCGTGGACTCACGTACCACCGGGTTCAGCTGGAGCGTGCTTTGAGCCACCAACTTCCAAAACACCGGCGCAAAGCAAGAAGGGCTGGGAAAAGCCAGAGCCCAAGAGCAGAGCGAAAGGGAAGAAGGAA